CACATTGTTCTCCCTCTATATCCAGAATCTCCTACATAGATCCCCTTTCAAGTGGTTGACAGTGGTAGCTAGGCACCATCTAGTTCTTCTGGTCTCATAGTTGTATAGGCTGCAGATCAGATGATGTACCAGTTGCTAGGACTAATTTTTTCCATGAATTTTTGGTTAGCTAGCAGTTTCTCTTGAATTTTTTAATGTCTTAATTCCTTTTTAATTTTCTTGCTTTCCATCTTCTACTTTTCTTAAGGCAATTATTTGTTGTGTTCTTTCTAACTTAGTATTTATTTTAGAAATGAATTCTCTTTTAATTTTTTCCTGTTCTAATCACCTTGTTTATAAGTTACTTCATCTCTGGCTTTTATAGTTCTATCATTGTCTTAAATTTAGATTATTTTAAAATATTTGGTGGCTGTTTCCATCTGTTTTGTGAACTTATCTTTCTGATGTGCATTTATGCCTCTAAGGACATTATTTACTCTTTAATTTAAATGAGAATTGTTTCACATCCTCTACAGTTGTGCGTTTTTGACTAAGAAAGTCTTACATGCTTGTAGGTGGAAGATATAAGTTAGAATTACTTTTCTCACTTAATGGCATAAAGCTCCTTCTTCAGTCGTTTTTTATGAAATGATGGTAAATATGACCATGCTTTTTCTGAGAGCATCTACCTATTCTGTCCTTCTCCTTCACCCAGGCCTTCTCTCTCTTTTGGTCTTAGTGTTCCTCTATTTCTCAATTCAGTTTTCTTCTTTGTCTGGTGCTTTTACATAGAAGTATGCTTTGGTTTATTAATTTTGAGTGTCCTTTGGGCCCAGATTCCCAGATATTTCCAGCACAATGACAACTTTCATATGACTACTTTGTTTTCAGCTTTGTATTGAAGCCTACAAAAGGCCTCTCTTAGTTTTGGCTACCGTTTCCAGAATGGCCTGCTAAACTATCCATGGAGTCTCTGATGGTCATTTTGTGTTTTTTTTTTTTTTGGCTCCCTTTGCTTCCTTTCACTTTTTTTCACATGTGGGTCTGCTAGCTGGTGGTTTATGCATTACCCACCCATATAGGTTCTACTGTAAATCAATCTCTCTCTCTCTCTCTCTCTCTCTATATATATTTGATATTCTACTGCACTGTCTGTTTTTATGGAGGCATCTGTGGGGATTCAAAAAGTACAGCACAGCTATCTTTTCAGAATTCACTTCCTCTTTGTTCTTTATGAATGCTTTTTTGGCATTTCTAATTTTTAAACACCAAAATTTCTCTCTTACTTGATTTTGTTCTTGTTATTAGATGCTGTTAAGTCAGTTCTAACTCATAATGATCCTATGTACAGCACAAAACACTGCCCAGTTCTGTGTCATCCTTACAACCGTTGGTTTTTTTTTTTTTTTTTTGACCCCATTTTTGCAACCACTGTGGCAATCCTTCTCTTTGAGGGTCTTCCTTTTTTCTTCCCCCACAAAACATGATGTTCTTCTCTAGTGAGTGACCCTCCTAATAGTATGTCCAAAGTACTTGAGATGAAGTTGGTCATCCTTGCTTCTAAGGAGATTTCTATCTCTACTTCCTACACAGATCGGTTCGTTATTTTGGCAGTCCCTAATGTACCTAATTTACTGGTAGATATAGACAGAACATTTCAAACTTTATAAAAAAATTTAGACTTGACTTAAAAGTAGGGACTTCATTCATATGTTTATTCATAATAAGGAAAGCCAAAAAAAAAAATGGTATAGGTTTTCAAAAGAAAGGAATGTCACTACTTCTTAAGCACCTCTTAATTGTAATGTTCTCCTTTGAGGAGATATACTGGAAGTTTTAAAGTGGAGTGGAGCAATACAGAACTTCTAAAACTGAACTTTGTATGTCCTATTCTATGTAGAGGATCTTGATTGACCTTGGAACGTGATCTATTCCTTACTGAATTTGTTCTGGCTTCTGAGCTTGTCTAAATTATTATACCACACAAGGACTTATCAGAATGATTTCTCTCATTAACAACCACAGTACTAACAATTAAGAGTGCCTCTCCCATGTGCCAGGATGTGACAGTACTATGAGCTTTATTTGCCTGATCTTACTTTAAAACAACTCTATGATTTTTCTTTCCCCATTTTACAAATAGAAATAGGGAGACCCTGTGGTCAGTGATTTGCCTGAGATTATGTAATTAGTGAGTGCAGGTGATTGGGTAAGTTATCATTTTTACTTCTTAAAATTCTTTTATGAAAAGGTGAAAGGAAAGAAATGCCAAGATTTTTTTTTTTTTTTTTAATTTGATATAGGCCTTATACCTAAGATGTGGTAGTTAAGGTTGTGTTTCAACTGGGGTGGACCATGATTTT